TGAAAAGTAACTCAGCCCAACTCAGACAACTTACTAGGGTTATATTCGTAAAAATGTCTTCTGTTTTTTTGTTTGGTCACAGAGGACTATATTGTAATTTCATAGCCCTTTTAGGTTAGATTTGCATTTGATTCAAGTTGGGGTCTAGTATTGGGGTTAAAACCAAGTTGTGGGTTAGTTTTGGCAAAAACCCCTTTATTTTTAGAGAAATTTCCAGATGACACTAAAAAAATTCTATAATAAATATAGCATAAAAATTCAAAATAATAATTTTTATTAAAATAATTATGTATATTTAAATATCTAAAAAATAAAATTAAAATAGTATTTTACTTCTTTAAGGAAACATTTTTTCGTCATTTTTTTCTTTTTGTTCTTTTGATGAAAAAATATATTTTACGGTATTTTAATAGAATTTTTATTATTTATTCTTCTTATTTTTATTTAAATTATTTTTCTGTTTTTATGCAAAAATTTAATATTTTTTGATATTTTTGACAAATTATATTATTTTTTGTTAGGTGGATTAACTTAGTTAATGTAAAATAAAATAAAAATACAAACTAGCATTTAAGAAAAATAAAATAAGTGTGCAAAAAACTTACTAACTAGGTTAAGACAAATGAGTATAAATTTAAAATATTTAATGGTCCACTCTATTTTTTCTTTAAAATACGGTAATTCTTGAATGGTATTTTAATAGTATTTTATTTTATAGTATAAATAGAATAGTGAACAAAAAATAAATAACTACTCTACATGTATATTATCAAAGTCTCATTTTTGGTTCATTATAAAATGATAATAGAGTATTATTGAAATATTTAAAGTAGCATTGGATATGCTCTTCAACCATCTCCAATGTATTCCCATATTTTTTTCTCTAAAATAGAAATTAATTCTTCTCCAATGTATTCTTCCATTTCCTCTCTATAATAGAATATTCTCAAATTTTTTTTTTTTATTTTACAACAATTACTCTATACTTATGAAATTTGAAAATTAACCCTATTTAATTTTATTTTTTTACAAGATTTTCATAACAATATGACTTTTTAAATTAAAGTTTCATTAAAAGACAACTATATAAATAAAAAAATGTGATTATATTTTTAGAAAAACTGTTTTTTATAAAATGAATTATTTTGTTATATTTATAAAAGTTTGAAGATTAAATGACTATTTTAAAACTAATGGACACAAAACACTCTTTGCAATGAGTGTTGATGTCATCATTTTTTTGGCAACTCTTCTTTCAACATGCATCTATTTCAAAGCACATATTATTTTAAGAGCCACAATGATGCCCTTTCAACATTTAATAATTATTTTTGCCTTGAAAAGTTATTTCTTCTGAAACAACATATCTTTTAATGGGAAGATTCCTATTTTTTCATAATTTCTGTATTTAATTAAAAAATTGAAGAGTTACAATCTGATGGTTGTAATTGTTGCGTTTTTATCTAATGGTCCTAAAAAATGTGTACGACATAAAATACTTTTATCATGAGCAATTTGTTTTTTTTTTCTTCTGAAAAACACATCTCTTTAAATGAATAAGTCATACTTTTTCATATTTGAAGAGTTACAATCTGATTGTTCTAATTGTTTTCTTTTTCATATAATGGCCCTAATAAATGTTTTTTTTTAGATATATGGTCTAAAAATGTGTATGACATAAAATAATTTTTCCATGAGAAGTTATGTTTTTGAAACAATACATCTCTTTAAATGAAAGAGTCATATTTTTCATATTTGAAGAGTTACAGTCTGATGGTTATAATTATTTTGTTTTTCATTTAATGGTCCTAAGAAATTTTTTGGGTTGACTGCATAAAACCCCCTGTAAATATACTTGCTCTATCTATTCTCACCCATACTTATGACCTCATAACCAAACCCTCCAAACTTATAATTTCTCTTCATATATCCCCCAATCTCGGTACTCCTGCTCAGATCCCCCTTTTTAATCCAAATTTTAAATCGCAATTAAAATATGTAAATGGCGTTTAGTTAATAGTGATTGCCCAATTAAAAAATCCGACACAACTTGACCTCGGCTTAAAAAACTTCCAATCGATTTGGGGCAAAAAAAAACAAAAAAATTATGTCTCTCGTCGACGACAACGAAGCAAATTGCAGAGGAAGAAAGAGAAGAGACAAAGTCAGAAAGAGAGCGCCATTTCCTGCAAAGAAACTAGAAGCAAAAGGTGGAGATCACGGTGCTGCGTGGGATGATATTTTCTATGAAGATGTGAGGAAGATTTATGTAGGACAAGGTGACTCTGGTGTTTCCTTTATCAAATTTGAGTACAACATTGGCAAGAAGCTTATAGCTGGAGATGGTCATGGAAAGATGTCACTTCTTGGAACAGAGGAGGTTTTGTGCTCTATCCTCAATACCCTTTAACGTTTTCTTGAGCCCCAAGTTTGATGAATCTTTTATATGTTGCAGTTTGAGCCCAATTTTCCAAATGAATACATCATTTCAGTGGAGGGATGTTACGGTAACGTCTTTGGATTTGAAGCTGAAGTTGTGACGATGGTGAAGTCCAAAACAAACAAACGTACATCTCCACCGTTTGGGATGGATGGAGGTACACCGTTTGTGTTTGAGATGAAGGATCATAAAATTGGTCATGGAAAAGCTGGAGATTATGTTCATCAAGTTGGTGTCCATGTCTCGCCAATCTCCAAGTCTTAACAAAACTACCGAGAGTTTTCTCTTGTCTTCGTGAAATAAAAAAATGCTTTATAAGCTTGTTGCTCCGTAGCTTCTACTATCTTTTGACTATGTCTTGTGTTCTTTTGTCTTTGGTTTGCTTGTGTCTCTTGTGACATGAAATCGTCTGATGTCTCTCCAACAGTGGTTCTCTGTGTATTATGTCGCAATGAATAAGAACTCGAGCTGCTCATCGTCGTTTTCCATTAAGCTTTTGTCCTCTTCCTCACTGTCTCTCTCGACTTTGTATCTGCTTTGTCTCTCACTCTTTCTCTCTCTGACGCTTACTGTGTTTCGTCATTCCCTCTTTCTCATGCATATTGTGCTTCGTCGCTCTCTCTTTCACTCTCTCTCTCTCTCTCTCTCTCTCTCTCTCTCGCTCTCTCTTTCACACACTCTCTCTCTCGCTCTCTCTTTCACTCTCTCTCGCTTGCTCTCTCTCTGGCTTTGTCTCTTCTCTTTCTTCCTCTGCAATTTGCATCGTTGTGTAAGACGAGAGACATAATTTTTTTTTTTTTTTGCCCCAAATCGATTGGAAGTTTTTTAAGCCGGGTCAAGTTGTGTCGGATTTTTAATTGGGCAACCACTATTAACTAAACGCCATTTACATATTTTAATTGCGATTTAAAATTTGGATTAAAAAGGGGATCTGAGCAGGAGTACAGAGATTGGGGGGAGATATGAAGAGAAATTATAAGTTTGGAGGGTTTGGTTATGAGGTCATAAGTATGGGTGGGAATAGATAGGACAAGTATATTTACAGGGGGTTTTATGAAGTTATTTCTTTGAAACAATACATCTCTTCAATAGAAAGAGTCATAGTTTTCCACAATTCGTGTATTTAAAAAAAAGGAAGGGTTTCAATCTGGTGGTTCTAATTATTCTGTTTTTCATCTAATGGTTGTAAAAGTTTTTTTTTTGTTAAACATTTTTTTCCTCGCAACTCCTCTTTCAAAATATTATTTTGTTTTAAAAAACATACATTTTTATAATCCATCAATGTATCTTTGTAGAATATTATAAATTGAACGTTTTACAGATGCAATTGTTTAAGAAAATTTGCTTGGTTCCTTTTGTATTCATCGTTTAACTCATTTATTTTCTATTTGTTTCAGTTGAGGTATGATTTATAGTACTCTTATATGTAGATCAAAATGATCTTTAAAAATTTAATATGTTGTGTGTGCAACAATAAATTAAAAAAGTTTAGTTTCAGTGAAACTCTATTTCTTGGTCCATGAAACAGAGCATGTCATTTTTACATTTTTTATACTATGTATGTGATAGAAGTAATTCGGTTCGGATGGTTTTATTCAAATAGCAAACCTTTTTAAAAACCGCTGGAAATGGAAAAGAATAGAATTTTATTTAAGATGAAAGATATAACATCATGATTCACCTAAGTAAATGTTGCCTTTATATCTCCTTAAAGGCGTCCCCTTAACAAATTGCAAAACTGTCGTACTCTCAAAAATTGTAGCTTCTCACGTTCATCATTTCAGTTAATAATCATCATCTTAAATTTGTATTTTTCATGGGATTATTTTTGGAGCAGTTTTCAGACATTTATATTACGAGGCCAATATTACATACGTCAAGCTCGAAATTTTTTGTTTCTCTGCATCCTCAAGAACCAACAATGTCATCGGATTTTCTTCGCAAGGATAATTTACACCGCCCAATTTTTCTTTGTAATTTATAAGAGTGGAATGGCATGTTGTCGAGATATGCGATTCTTGGGGTGTTTTAATAAACTCAATCATTTCTGATTTAACATTTAACTTAACTATTCTTGACCTTCCAACTCCGTAGTATGATGAACGTGATATAGTTATCTCAGGTCGTGTTCTTGATCTTTCGATCCACTCTTGTTTCTCAGATGAACTCACAGTGCAAACCAATTGCTCTGGTTAGCTATTTTTCATTTTAGAGCAGGCCATCACCACACACAACACCTTGTATTGTTCTTCGACTGGATCGTACACAGGACGTGCGTACATGTTTCTTCTGATGGCGTAACCTCAGGCGATTTCACAGTTTTTCTAGTACTATATAAAACAATTGTTGTATTATCGAAATGAAAAATATAAAATCATTTTCTACTACATTGGAAATAGAAAATATAACGCCAACACATGGCGCTGTCTAGCCATTCACAATTGGCTAAATATAGGAGGCCTAACACTTTTGACTATTATTTTTGCCTTTAGTTAATTACACCTTCGCTTAGCTCGAACAAAAATTAGCACATTCTTAAGAACAACTCCAAAACAGCATCATCTTAATGCTAATGTGAAATTGGCATAGTCTAACAGTTGATCCAAAAGTTCCAAAATGCCTCAAATCATAAAGCTAAACACAATCTTCATATATCTATTAAATTTGCTTATGTGTCATTGAAAGATGTATATAGAAATAACTGATTGTTTTTATATTTAACTTCAAAACTATATTTCTACTTACAAAATTGTCATTTTTGTTTATCTTTGTTTTTTTTTAAATATGTATATAAATTCTGAATCTGTGAGTTAATTTAATTTTATTTTTAGATATATAAATAAATATTTTAAATAAAGTTAAAAATCATGAACCAAATTTTTTGATTTATTAAAAAATTAAAAACTAGAATTGTGTTTTTTGTCAAACTAGATCCTTTTATATCGGATTTTGAAAAGACACATAGCTTAAATTAGATAGGTTTCAATATGTGATTCATCTATAAATGTGTTTCTCTATCTTTCTAATTTCTAAAACACTATCATTTCATTAGCAAAGATGAAAAACGCGTTTAAACCTTCGCTTATTGGTTTTGTTATGCTTACAATTCTTCTATTCGGTTTGTGTTTACATTTACAACTTTATTGATATATTATATAATCATTCCAATTTTTTTTAGATGATGTATATATTTATATATTCTATATAATTGAATGTATAATTATATAATATTGAGTATAGTGATTTTTCAAGAATAATCAATGATTTAGAAAGAAGATCTTTAAACGTTTAGTTCTTTTTATTAAGTATGCAGAAAATTCTCTACATATATGTTTTACAAAAAAAATCATTTTTACTTTAAATATGAAAATTAAAGTTATGTTTTAATTGTTATAATAACAGGAGAAGCGGTGATTGCTCAGAAAGGAAAACCATGTTATTCAGAATCTCCAAACAAAACGGGAACATGTGAAATCAAGACATGCAAAGCTGACTGTGTTAAAAAGCATAAAAAAATACTGGCTTATACCGCGTGCATTAAACAAAATGACGGAAAAAATATTTGCAGATGTCAATATCCATGCCCTCCCTAATTTTTTTATCTACAAGAAAACTTAAATAATATTTATAATAATACCACGACTTTGTCAAAGAAATAAATAAAACTTTTAATTAATTGTGCTGGGTTTTTTTTTGGCGTACTAAGGTGTATTATGTTACTGTTAAAGAATGAATATGTGTGTGTCTTACCTTTTACTTTTTGTACAATTGCTTACTTTCACATTAGATTTATTAGAACCAATTATTAATTTCATCTAAAATTGAAATGAAAATGGTAAAGACTTAATATATTTAAGCGTATCAATCTCCCAGTCAAAATAAAATTGACGTTGAGTTTTTTTTCTTTCTCTTAAGATTGTATTTTATATTTTTTTTCAACTAAGTTTAAAAGTAAAAAATTAGTTAAATAAACGAGGGAGTGTAATAACATTACAAAAGGTTACGGTTTTGACCAAAAAAAAATACAAAAGGTTACGGTCTCGATCTGCGACGAACGTCAAATCACCCTTCGACAACGAGATCAGAACCGATCAAAACAACATGAGTGCATCAATTGGGAAGCTTTCTGATCACACGTGAGATCTAAAGTTTCGGATCCGTCCGACTTCATCTTCTTGTGACTTTGAGAGCAAGAGACATTAGAGGCAGTTACACCAGATATAATTGGAAATATGAGTTTTATTATATATACTAGGATCGGACCCGTCCTACGGGCGGGTAATCAAATGAACGAATAATATAAATATATGTTACATTTTAATCAAAAATTTTGGTATTTTTAGTTTATTTCTAATTATAGCTTTCACTGTTTTTGTTACAAATTTTATTTATGTTTTATAGAAATTATATATTTTTTACTATATCAAAAAAGTTCATGAAAATATAGCTATATTACTTGGTTCACAATATTTATTGTTACTTTGATATAGTAGGTAGTAAATTTTGGAAACTGAATGGTTGTTCAACATCAAAATGGATCGTTTTTTTCTTCTATGTTTGTTTCTTGAATTCGATAGATTTTTAATATCTTTCTTTTATAATTTGTTAATTTAAACATTTCGTAAAATGAAAACCTATCTATTATATTTTTAAAATAAAATCAAGCAAGTCACATGAAAATCTGATATATATTGTTACTGTATTAATATTTATAATTAATGTGCTTGGTTAAATACTTATATATTATTATATTTGAGAAAAACTCGTTTCCGTTATTCTTATATGTAACAAAACTATTTATAAATCTAAAAATTAAATAAAATATATCTTTAAATCTAGAAATATAAATGGTCTGGGTTCAAAATATATCGTTAGCTATAAAGATTATTTACAGACTATTTAATTCAGTGTTAGAAACATAAAAATATTATTTTTGACAGTTGAAAAAAAAATTATATTGATATGTCATAGTTATTCTTTTCGTTTGTTGAAGTGGCAGTAAAAAGATGTCTGAAATGATAATAATACCTATTTAATTACATTATTATTATTGCTAGTGATGTAATATAGATGTTGAAAAATATACATAGTAAGTTATCCATTATCTAAAAATAAGCTCTATTTTGCCTAGATTTGGTTAATGCCACAATCCTAACAGATGTCAGCTTAAAAAAGCTATCTGAAGAAATATCTACTCTCCTCTCTCCAGCCAGTGATCACTACATTACAGCTGTTACGTTTTCAGCTTTGTATGATTCTCAACC